GTGTATATATATTCCTAAATATATAACTACAACCCAATCTGTTCAAGCCATGTAATGTTATATGTCTGTGTATATGATTTCATAGCTGACCACTTGGTTTTAGACAACATTAGTTTGGGGCTTTTCCCTGAGGAAAATTATTCCTCCTACTCTCAGTATTTCTTAGCTGCCTCTTATTTGTCTAGGCTTGAGACCCCATGAGATTTCTCCCTTCCATATTAGCATGGTCATTGGTGTTATATTTTTTCAGGTCTTGTTTAGGAAGCCATGTTGATGTGACATCATGGGTATAGCTTCTCTGTCATTTCTAGAGGATAACATTTTGTGGGGTTACTGTAACATACGTAATATAGTTCTTGACCTCATTTATTCTTACCACCGAAATTTGCACAGATAAAACAATCTAGACATATTCTTTCATGAAGTCTTTAGTCCAGTCATTTTCACACACACACACACATACACACACACACACACACACACACACACACACACACACACACCCCTCCCTCTTATTTTTTCATTTAGATATTTAGCCTAGTCTGCCCGTCCTGACAAGATGTCTCAGTTGAGAACCAGGAAGTTTCAAATTCACGTCCTCTTGCCTCATCCTTTTGACCTTGGGGATTAAAGGTGTACATCACCATGCTCAGAAATTCTGCAAAATTTCATCTTTCTTTTATTTGAAAGATATATTTTATATGGTTTAGATTAAAATAATCCTGTGTAGATTTTTCTTTTAAAATATTTTATTAATTATTCATGACCTTACATTGTATTTAATGTGAGATGTGCCTTGATTTCTTTCATTTGCTCCCCCATATGTACCTTCTGGCTGTATAAGACTTTTCCTCTTTCTTACACCCTTTCAGCAATTTGATTGTGAGGTATCTTGTATAGATACATGCCTCCACCCACCCCTGACTCTGTTCTCCCTACCCTTGCTTTCCTCTTTATATCAACACTTGATAATGCTTCCAAATCCACACAGGATGTTTGCTCTCTGGGCCTTAGTTACTTAGAATCCTGTGACTTCACACTTTCCTATGAGCTTTTTAATGGCATAATTTCATGCATTTCTGGATAAGTTAGCCTATTATTTCAGCATATTTTATTTATAAAATTAGTTTTTCCTTTCTAAGATTGAATTATCTCCTTTGTGATAGCTTAAGTTTTCTCTGTATGGTACTTTTTTTGGTTGTTCATCTATTATTTCTGATGTATTCTGTCTTCAGTGGGTTTCTAGTAAGTTTTCATACTTGTGCTACAAATTTCAGTGCTACAGTCTCCCTCATTCTTCCATAATGTTTTGGGAATTTGTATGTAAATCATAATAGCATAAATTGATGCGATAACTTTGGGAATTAAAAAGTAATGTATAGTGTTCCTTCACAATACTAGGCCATTATAGAAATGACCTTTATACTCCATTTTATTACCTATACCATAATGCTTTTTAAGTTTGTTTGTTTTGTTTTTTAAGACAGGGTTTTTCTGTGTAGCCCTGGCTGTCCTGGAACTTGGTCTGTAGACCAGGCTGGCCTTGAACTCAGAGATTCACCAGCTTCTGCTGGGATCATAGGTGTGCGTCACCACTGCCTGGTACCATAAAGCGTTTTTTAAATTTTTGTTTTTGTTTTTGACTTGGACTTTGTATCTTAAAAGCCACACTTAGACAGCTCTGTCCACTTCTAGTTCTCACTTTTAGCTCATAGTGCCTGCCACATTAAGTAGAGCTGAGGATTTTAACCTCTTTTACCACCATAATCTAATTTTCTGTTAACTTCTAAAACAAAACTGCTTAGGCATGAATGTGTTGCTCCAGGCGGACAGTTTTTTTATTAATTTTTTTATTTCAAATTTTTTTATTCATTTTACATACCAACCACAGATCCCTCTCTTATCCCTTCTCCCACCCCCACCTAGCCACCCCCCCCATCCCGACCCATCACTCATCCTCTCCTCCAAAAGGGTAAATTCTTCCATGGGGAGACAGCAAAGCTGGTACATTCAGTTGAGGCAGGACCCAGCCCTCCTCCCTGCATCAACGGTGAACAAGGTAGAGGGCAGTTTTAAGTCAGAAAATCTTCTCTTCATTTGAAAGAAGGTTCTTCTCAATAGGGAGTCCTGAAAGGAAAACCATAACCAACCATGTAGCTTAAGTTAAAAGGATTGAAAATATATAGTATTTGTATTGATATGAGACCTTTAGTAAGCAGACAATACTGGATCTTTTTCATTATTGGTAGAATAAAACTGTCTACTATATATTTTACATGTTTTGGTTTGGGTTTGCATAATCGGGTAATACTTGTGTGATGGTTGGTTTTAATTGTCCACTTGAGACATTCTAGGATTATCTTGGAAAGGAATCTGAATGTGGAATTGCTTGGATTAGGTTGGTCTGTGGACATGCCTGTAAGGGATTTTCATAATTGTATTAAGTTCTGAAGAGTCATCCTGAATGCTGGTTGCACCATTTCATGGACTGGGTTCTAAACTGAGTGAAGAGACTAGGACAAGTTGAGCAGTAGTGTATGTGTATTAATTCGTTGCTCTCTGTATTTAACAGTTAATGTAATGTGAGTAGATGGGCCAAGTTCCTTCTGCTTTGTCTTCCCTGAAATGATGTACTGAAACAATACTGTGAGCAAATCACCCTTTTTCTCTTAGTTTAGAGTATTTTTTTTATCACAGCAATACAAATGAAACTATGAGATCTTGTGTTTATTCTGTGTATTAACAAGTCTGCTAGGTATGTTTAAAATAGAAAATAATATACCAACACCAAAGGGTGTATATAGTCATGTTCATAATAATTTGGTTTGTAATACTCCCAATTTGGAAATACCATTAATATATCAAGTTTAGGAAACAAATTGATTTGTTTTTGCAATGAAAGAAATCACTGACATTGAAAAACAAACAATAAACAATGCAAGCAGAAATTGTTAAAACATAATTTTAATCACCGCACTAAGCAGGCAAAGGTCTTCAAGGCCATTTTGGTTTGCACAGCAAATTCCATGCTAGCCAGTGCTGCATAGTGACACCAGAAACTGTCTTAAAAAGAAATAGAAAACACACACGCACACGCACACATATCATCACCACCACCACCAAGAACAATAACATGTGGATGAATACATGTTTCTGATACAGTTTTTCTTGAAGGGAGGTTGCATACCGTATATGAACTTTAAAAATTACTTATCTCAAACTAATTTTTGGTTATAAACATCACTACAATAATTCACTTTGGGGCTGGAGAGGGTTACCTATGAGAAGGGAGGTTGAGAAGATGTTTCAATTCTGGAAATGTTTTATGTTCTTATCTGGTTCTGATTATACATTTCCATTTGTAGAATTTCCTCAATATGTCATTTAATTTTATGCATGTCATTTCATATAAATTAATTTTGGTGAACAATTTTATTGTTAAAATTGTTTTTATTTTATACATTTTGTTTGAAACTATATAACCACCTCTGCTTAATAAAATCCCAAGCAATTTTAATTAGAATGGCAATTAAGATGTTAGGGCTTTTTAAATATTAGATAAACAGACTTTATTGATCTAAAACTAAATCTTTAAATGAAATTCAGGACATGATACTTCTTTCTAAACTTATTTTCTGTATGCTGTGTGACTTATAAAATTTACTTTTCTCTACAAGTTTTAGATCTATATTTGGTTGCAGTCTAGTTTTCCAACTAATGCTAATTTTATGAAGTTACTTTGTACATTAATTTTTAGCTTGCTATCTTGTCATTGTTACTAATCTGCCTGATCACTTTTGTAGACTTTGGTCCTCTTATTATAATTGTTTTTATTTTACATATATATAATGATGAATATCATTTTGATACTTTTTCCCCCATTTTTTGAGACAGAGTTTCTCTGTGTAGCCCTGGCTGTCCTAGAATTCACTCTGTAGACCAGGATGGCCTCGAACTCAAAAAGATCTGCCTACCTCTGCCTCCTGAGTGCTGGGATTAAAGACGTGTGCCACCACTGCCTGGCTTTGGTTCTGACAGTTTTCTATGTGTATATAATCAGATGATCCTTGTCTACCATTATCCTCACTGCTCCTGATCCTATCATCTTCACAGCTAATCACAATCCTACTTTTTTCTTTCCCTCCCCTCTTCTTCTTCCTTTCCCTCCCCTGGAATTCCCTCCTTTTTTGGTGAAGCAGAGATCAATTAGGATTACATAGTAGAATTAAGAATGAGTGGGGAGATCATGAGCAACTTGTAGGTACACCATTGAAGAAAGCTAGATTTTGGTATTCTTATTACCTGCCACTGCTTTTTACCAGTGTTTCACTAATGTTGGCATTTCATACAGATATAATAGTTACATTGAATGGTTGCCTTTCCTGGTTTTTTGAAGTAGCTTAAGGATTTCAACAGCAAAATCATTTAGTTTTTGTCTTTTTTAAAGTAGAACCCATATATAAGTCCCATTTTATCATAAAAATTTTGGGGACTATTGATGTCAGTGATTTTATTAGACACTTTGAGATCTAGTAGTACAGCAATTTTTCTTCTTATAGTTTTGATTCAGTTATTTAATTTACAAATACTTAACCATCCTTACATTACTAAAAAAAATGTTTGTTACACTTGGTATGCATTCTTTGTGTACACTACTAATGGATTAAGTTTGCTGAACTTAGAAATCTCGTATCTATGTATAAGTGAATTTTGATATTTATCACATAAGTTTTAAAATGTTTGTTTAATCATTAGTAACCTCGATGGGATTTTTAATGTCAGCTTTGTATTTTGCTTTATTGTAAATAAATCTTTGAGCTCTAGTAATGAACCTCTTAGTCTTATAAATAGAGAAGTCTGCTTTTGTTTGACAACAGAACAATAGCTTCAGGTAAGTGATTGTCTCAGTTAATTTCACATACACACAAACTTTTAAAAAAAAAATCTGTTTAGTGTATTGTTAATGTTTTTAAATTATTTTTGTATTTTTTTTTCTACAGTCCGTGGTGGATGACTGGATTGAATCATATAAACAAGACAGGGACATCGCACTTCTGGATTTAATCAACTTTTTTATCCAGTGTTCAGGATGTCGAGGTACACAGTTGTAAAATAAATGCTGTTTATCGAACCTGTCAGTTCAGCAGTGTAACTTCACCTGCCCCTGGAATTGTGTTTGGATCATTTTTAGCAGAGTAGATGGTTGGTAGTATTTTAAGGGTACTTACTCTTCTTTTCCTGGTCAGTGTTACCTGTCTAAATGGGAACACGCTTCTGTATCTCTTTCAAAATCTTCAAGAAAAACTGAGAATTACTATTTATGAATTTTTTTATCATAAATTTTACCATTCATTTTTGTCTATCTTCATTTTTGACAATGAGTGTGATGGTTAATTTTATTTCTTTGTTTCAGTACATTTAATGTTTTATTGAAATGAGAATTATTAGGGGAAATTGAAAAGATACTAATATATATTATTTTCAGTGGGAAGCTTGTTTTCCGGTCCTGACTGTTTGGTGTTCTGTGTATGGCTCTTTCACCCTGATAGGCATCTCCTTCCTTAGATTCGGGACGTTCTCTTTTGTGATTTGGTTGAAAATATTCTTATGCCTTTGTCTGTGTTTCTTCTCTTCTACAACTGTGATTTATTGATTTATTTTTTTATAGTGTCCCAGAGTCCTTTCATGGGTTTTCTTAGTTTTAATGTTTTCTTTTGAATTGTGTGATCTTGTTCTTCTAACTTGTCTTTAAGACCTGATTATTCTCTCTTCCACTTGATCTAGTCTGTAGGTGAGGCTCTCCTTTGAATGTTTGGTTTGACTTTCTGAGTTTTTGTTTTTGCATTTATTGAAGCTTGCCTTTTCTTTAGAGATTCTCTTTATTCAATTCTATTTTCACACCTTCATTATTTTTCATTATTTTATTCAGCTGTTTTTGCTTTTGTGGTCTTCATCTTGCATTTATTTATATTCTCTTTGAGTTTCTTGAATATTTTTTAATTGGTGTTTCAAAATCATTGTCTTTTTTGTTTTAAGTTCAAAGTAGTTTTTTTTATACAGTATATTATGATCACAGTTTCCACTTCCCCAGCTCCCCTCCACTTTCCCACCCACCCAAATCTACACTTTCTTATTAGAATATAAACAAACATCTAAAGTAATAATAATAACAATAATAAAGATAAAACCAAACAAATCAAGAATAGGACAAAACAAACAAAAAATTCTTATAATGGTTATAGATCTGTATTGTGAAATTGTCTTATGTGTTAACTAAGTTGCTTTTCTCAGGGTGTATCAACACTGGGTGGTTCAGATTTCTGGAGGAGACACACTGGTTTTTTTTTTTTTGTGTGTGTGTGTGTGTGTGTGTGTGTGTGTGTTGTATTGCATATGTTTTTTGCGACGGGATCTAGGCATCTGGAGTTAGGTTATTGGTGGTGTTTATTGGCCTGGCTTTCTGGTCTCACCTTTGTTAAAAGAGTGTTAGTTACTACCATATTTTGTCAGATTGTGGATTAGGTACATGGTGCTCTGGATACAGTTTGCGGGACAACTCTTAATATTTGGATGAGGTTTCTGAAGTGTTCCCAGCTCAGCTAGGGAAAAATTTGACTTTTCATTTTAGGAGCAGTCCTTCTGTAGGTTTTAAATATTACTCTGCTAATGTCCAGAATTCTTTAGAGGACTATCTAGGTTCTATGTCTAGGTTCTATAGGTGGTCCTTGAGTGACAGGGTTAGGGGTCACAGTGCAAATTGCCAGTGCTTCATGGATACAGTAAGCAGGATGTCATGCTATCCTCTGGTGAAGGTGTGTGAGATGCTATCTGGGGTCATTTGAAGGATGCTTTAGGTGTGGAAGGTCTTGGTATATGGTGTGACCAACTGTTTCAGGGGATTTCTGCCTGGAGTCATTGTCACAGGATACCATGTAGTACCTGGCAAAGTTAAGAATATCCTTCTGGCCTATGGTTGGATTGGGCCTAGGGGTCTATGTGTGGGATTCTAGGTTGGGTTTTCTTTTTGGCTGTCAGACTGAGCATATGATGAGGGTATATTCTTCTACAACACTCTGTTCCTAGAAGACACCCAGGGGATATTTTTGTCTTTTCCCATGCTTGTGTTTGGACCCACATTCTGGTACATTTACTTTTTATGCTATCATATAATCCTAGAATTTTAATACGGGTTTATGTGTTGGAGTATTAAACTTGTTTTGAACCATTTTAGAAGCAGAGAACAGGGAGTTTACTGACATTTTAAAATGTAAATTGATTCATTTCTTTTGTCTCTTATGTAAAGATCTTGAGCACTGAAGATGGGGTTGTTTTAAGATTTGGGGAAATATTTGAATATCTTTGACTGTCTGTAGGACAATGTTTGCTTTCATGCCTGGATTACCTATCACCAGTCAACCAAATTTTAAAATTTGCTAAATTAACATTTAATGAGTTGTCTATTCTATGTAGATATAGTGTCCCTTGTACAGTCCTGAAAGACTAGATAACTTATAATCATACATTACATGCCAATATGTGATTTTTTTTCCCTTTTTGTACAATTATTTTATCTATCACAGTTTTATGTGGTCCAGAGTTTGGCCATCATTATAGCAGGTTTATTAAGGGATAAATAGGGAAGGGGAGGAGGAGGGAGGAGGACTGGAACATCTTATGGGTGGGTACTAATTTAGAAATTGGAGAAGTCCCTTTAAGGCAGTCAGCTAGAATTCTTAGTAGAGTCCTGGGTACAGCAGAATATCCTTTTGAGTGATGCTTCTAAGTAAAACAAATTCTAACAGATAGAGATAACATCCAAGAGGAACCACTTGGGAAAGTTCATACAGTCCCCTGAAGTTCTTGATTCAGTTCTCTTTATAACTCAACTTCCCATAGCTGAACTTTAGCTTTTCTTAGTCACTGCAGTACTTCTTATGGCATGAGGTAATAATAGTAATATTTTACTCTTGTGCTGTTTTGCTGTTCTCTGCTTCCTGTCACAGTTAGGAGACCCAGCCCATTCCCAGAGAAGGAACTTTGGAGGACACTTTGAGGCAAACATGTTTGGGTCTGAACCATTGGGATGGCTGGGAGAACCCATATAACAGAGCCAGTTTTTCAGTGAACCTAAACAAATGCCAAATTACCAATATAATGTATAACCACCTTCATACTTACCAAGGAAGGAATGTGTTCATATTTTTAACTAGCAGTGTTACAAAGTATAGACTGCCATCTAGAGACAGACCCATCAGTGAACGTACAATCACAACCTTTATGACATTATAAATTATTACCTATTTTATAAAATATTATCATAATAATTTTTTATTTTCCCCCATTCACACATAACCCAAGTAGTTCACATGCACCCCAAGATATTTAACGAATTTTGTTTGAAATGTTTGTTAGAAAGCAACCAGAGTAAGTGCCCTTTTCTCTGCATTTCTTCCAGCTTCCCTTTTTAGTCACTGCATTATGGTATAATTAGTAAACCCTGAATTTACTATATGTGGGTATTTCTTTAGTGAATCCTTGTTAGTTTTAGTAGTTTAGATCTACTTCCCTTTTCCTGAGGTTTCCTCTACCAGTTCATTGATACTTGTCAGCAATCTTTCTCTTTTATTTTGATTCGTCTGTATGGGTCTAGATAAAGTAAAAATGAAAGAAACAAGGGGTGGGGAGAGGGAAGGATGGAAAAGGAAAGAGAATCTAACAAAAGTTGGTTCTGTCATATGATTGTAGTATCCCTTCAACATCTCAATGTCAGGTAATATTTATTAAGAATCTGTAACTCTAATCTTTTTTTTTTAATGTTTAGGTCTAAGACATACATTTAGTGTTTTATTTATTTATTTATTTTTCTTTTTATTTTATTTTACAATACCATTCAGTTCTACATATCAGCCACGGATTCCCTTGTTCTCCCCCCTCCTGCCCCCTTCCCCCGAGGACTGAGATTGACCTGGTAGACTCATTCCAGGCAGGTCCAGTCCCCTCCTCCCAGACTGAGCCAAGCGTCCCTGCATAAGTTCCAGGTTTCAAACAGCCAACTCATGCAATGAAGCACAGGACCCGGTACCACTGCCTAGATGCCTCCCAAACTGATCAAGCCAACTGTCTCACCTATTCAGAGGGCCTGATCCAGTTGGGGGCCCCTCAGCCTTTGGTTCATAGTTCATGTGTTTCCATTCATTTGGCTATTTGTCCCTGTGCTTTATCCAACCTTGGTTTCAACAATTCTTGCTCATATAAACCCTCCTCTTTCTCGCTAATTAGACTCCCGGAGCCCCACCCGGGGCCTAGCTGTGGATCTCTGCATCCAGATTCCTCAGTCCTTGAATGGGGTTTCTGGCACGACTATTAGGGTGTTTGGCCATCCCATCCCCAGAGTAGGTCAGTTCGGGCTGTCTCTCAACCATTGCCAGCAGTCTATTGTGGGGGTATCTTTGTGAATTTCTGTGGGCCTCTCTAGTAGTTTGTTTTTTCCTTTTCTCATGTGGAACTAGGGGAATTCTCCTCCACTGCTTGTGGGAATGCAAGCTTGTACAACCACTTTGGAAATCAATATGGCGCTTTCTTAGAAAATTGGGAATCAATCTCCCCCAAGATCCAGCTATACCACTCTTGGGCATATACCCAAGAATTGCTCAATCATACCACAAGAGCACTTGCTCAGCTATGTTCATATCAGCATTGTTTGTAATATCCAGAACCTGGAAACAACCTAGATGCTCTTCAACTGAAGAATGGATAAATAAAATGTGTTACATATACACAATGGAATACTACTCAGCAGAGAAAAACAATGACATCATGAGGTTTGCAGGCGAATGGATGGATCTAGAAAACTAATCTTTTAAACAATAGGCTGATTCATACATAGAATACTTGAAAGGCCTTTACTGTTTGGAATGCTTTTTGCTAGTGTACTAGATAGTGTTAGTATATTTCATCATGCCTAGGTGTCAGTAGTTCTGAGTATGCAATGTTATATCATAAAAACTAGAAATTAAAATGTTATTTGAAATACTGTTATGCTATCAAGTATAGCAAGAATTTGCCTGTGTTTAGTCTCCTATCTTTTATTTCTTTAT